GCCCGAGCCTCCCCCCCGTTTGTTTAAGGCGGCTGCCGGCTGTTGGAAGGTGGCTGGGGTTGGTTAGGGAGGGGAGTTAGGGATTTCCCCCTTTTAAGTGGGGGAGGTTTCCCCTGTAGGAATCTGACTTCCTGAGTTTTACAATTTAGCAAGGAAATTTTTGAGTGGTCAATTAAATTGAATTAAATTATCTCTAATTAACTTTTAAACTAAGCAATTTCAGCTACTAGAAAAAATCCCCCCCTAATGGAAAGGAACTATACCTGCCCAGGAGCCAAAAGTTCTAGATGTGTCTTCATGGCGAGATCAGTCAAGACTGGAGGATCATGGTCCAAGACGGGGCGTGGCAACTTTGGCTGACTGATCTGATTGGCCAGGAATACAGTCTCAACCCACTGCGTGGATTATCCATCTCCAGTGCTGGAGAAATATGAAATTAACTTTTAGGGACTATAATGTAGTTAATCACATAATGTTTCTAATATGCTGCATGGCTAAAAGTGTTTGGCTATCAATTTTCGTTTGTATTTGGTCTCTGATCCATGTCACTGTAGTGTGCAATAATAGCCAGCATTGATGGCTATTTCAATTGCCCTACTGTTTTTCCATTGTAGCAATGTCCTAGTGAAACTTTTCACCATGTTCATTACTGACTGCACCTAGATTTTTGGGGGAAAAGGTCCAAGTGTGAATGCAGAAAATGAATCTTCAATGACATGTTGCACTTCATGGTCTTGTACATTATAAAAAGTTTGTCAATCAGCTGAATGTAGTTTGGGGCGCTGTAGTTAGCAAGAAAATTCTCAACATCATCCCTAAATGCTTTCCAAACGATTTTCTCTGGCTTTACTAAAAGATCTTTGAACTGCTTGTCATTGATGGTGTATCTGATCTGTGGACCAACAAAAATGTTCTTCTCAATCTTGGCATCAGTTATTCCTGGAAATCTGTCTCAAATCGTGGAAACCTTCATCTTCCTTATTCATTGCTTTCACAATTTTTTTTTAACCAGCTTAAGTTCTATTTTAAGGGGAGGCAAAAATATCTTTGTTGGGCCAACAAGTGGTTCATGTGCCATGTTTTTCTATTCTGGAATCAAATTCTTTCAGAGGTCTTGTCTTAATTCAACCGAAGTACAGTTCATACATTTTCTTGATAAGCCTAGTCATGGTACATCTTGAGGCTTAAAACATCTATTTGCTACAAATATAGCAGAATGGATCACAGCTATTCCAACATTGGTGAGACATTTTTGATGTTACTAATCATCCTATAGCATTGCAAGTCTATAATTGGCTTGTTATGTAAATTTCATGCACATGGACAATGAAACAGCCTTGAAATAATCACATCAAAATACATGGAAACTAATATCAATGAAATAAGTAGTGTCTATGCATGTAAGCTTCTTTTATACCTTTCCAAGCATCATTCATCCAGCCTAAGCATGCCTAGGCATGTCCAAACTACACAGTTCCACAAATGTTATGCAATATGCCCAGCATGCATGCCTGGACATGCATGAGCTCAAAAAGCACCTTATAACACAAATGAAAATTAGTTTTATGTATGTATGTATATATGTATGTATGTATCATTGCAAAAATAGAAGAATTTTATAAAATAATCCATGACAGGTTAAATTACAAGTTATTTTCATGATTAGCAGCCAAAAATCCACAGATACACCCAAAAGCATTCCGGAAGCAAAACTGTTGTTGTTCAGTGTAATTTGAGTCTGGTTATTTGTGTCTCGAAAGAGACTTCCAGGTTTTATTTGATGATCCATTTGTTTGTTTTCTGGCTGTCCACAACATTCCCAGGAATCATTTTTAACACCCAAGTTTAAAAGCATCATTACTCTTTTTGTTTCTTCAAAATTCAACTTTTACTTCCATAGGCTATTATAGAGAATATAATTACTTGCACTATTCTGATATTGGTAGGTATAGATCAGAATAGCATCTGAATATCTTTTCCAATTATTTTTTTTTAACTTGGAACATGCCCAAGAGGGACATGAAATCACAAACAAACTAGTCTGGAAAAAGCAGGCAGAGGCTTGAATTAAGACACACGTCACTAGTGCTACAGATTGGTAGGCGGTTTTCAAACTGACCAGTGACATGCTGAAAGTGGAAGGCAGCAAAGCCAGAAGAGAAAACTAATATTGTTATTTATAATGGATAGTACATTTACCAGTCAGGATAACACCATTCAGCAGTGACTCAAAATGTAAATATAAAGAGTAGGGATTGGCAAGAAGGACAACAAAAATTTCTACCAGCATGAAGATCAACATAATTTTTGTCTGGCCAGCAACTTGAGATTCAATAAAAAGCACAATTTCATTCACATAACCGTTATATTTACGTTTTAACAATTTATTCCATAATGTTAAAGCTCTATTTTGCCATTTACTTATCTTTTTCTCAACATACACAGTTCCATTCTTTGAAAGCCTTTTCTTTCTCTTTGGCAACTAATCCCAGCATTAATATGTTCACAACTCTTTTTTCTTCTGCATCACTATGAGATTGTCTTCTTCTGAACCCCAGCATGTCCTTCTGCTCTGGTCCTTGAGTTCAGGATCATTCTTCTTTAGGCAGCAGCAAAGTTCGGTTCTTTCAAACTGGATTTTCTCTTGTAACAAAAAGTCTGAGGCAATCTGGCTTTGAAAAAATGATCAGCCTAACAGCTGGTGGGAAACTGCCAGAGAGAATGTGTAATGCTTTAGGATGGAGATTCTCATTCAGGATGCAATCCTTCTACTCTATCAGCTCTTAATCAGGTATTTTTTAAACATCCCTTTACTTGTTTCCTGTTCCATCTGATATAATCACATAATATCTCTGTTTGCCACAGAGATTTCAATATTAAACCTGGATCCCTGATATAAGTGGCCAAAAATCTGGAATGATGATGATCCTGACTCATTAAGCCACTAGATGGTACCTTTACTCAGTAGTATGACAAGTCCAGAAGCTAACCCCTTTAATTTCAACCAAACTGCATACACACACTCACTGTTAAATCTTTCCGTTATGATAACTGCTTACATATTACCTACTTCTTCCATTTAAAATAAAAATTATTCATTAACTTGTTCCAAAGCATTCATATAGAAAGCTTATAATTGAAGAGTAAAGCTAGAAGTTCAACCTTCATTCTTAAGAAATCTACCATAGTTAGTGAACAATATTACTTAAAGTTTTCTGCAATGTTATGTTGAAACACTGTAGCCAGCTTGTCCTGATTTCAATTTTATCAAAGGGGAAAAAAACAATCATTAAACAATTGAATTAGCTTAAAAATATGCTTGCATATTATTCCCATTTGATCAGATTACTTGAAATATTTGTATCAAGCATTAAACTGCCTCATAAATATTAAGGATTTAATTGTACACTTCTGAAAGGACAGCCCATATAAAATGTGTTTCCTATTACTGTATCATAACACAAAATAAGGGCTGATAGGCCAAGATACATTTGGACTGATCAACTTTATTAGATTATTTATCAATAAATGAATATATAAATAAAAGCAGTAGTCTTTAAAATACTAATTCTACATTTCTTTGCAATTTTTTTGGGATGTTCACCTCACTGAATCCCTAAGCAGCATTACCATGTAAATATGCTTAAGATCAGTAAGATAAATGACCTTACACACACACACACACACACACACACACACACACACACACACACACACACACGATTTTAATCTAACTTGAGTTAACTTTCACTATCTAGATATATTGTTTCTGGAGACTACAGTATTGCACAGAATGCAATACTGCCTCACTCCCTCCTATAACTACTGTACTATGCAAGCACTGTAACCACATAATTACATAAGATAAGCACTAGGAAGAGGCTGGCCCAAGGAGCAACAGCGAAGGGAGAACATTATACAATATATGCCCCCACACAACAAACCCCTGAAAAACAGCTCTGTCACACACACAGAGACACTTGAGACAGTGTCTTGGGCTTTCCAAAGACTCTCCATCACTAATACTTAGTACCAGGCAGACTACTGCAGCAGTTATGTTAAGGTAAAAATGTATTCACATCAAATAAAACCATGGACTTATCATACTCTCATAATGCAAGTTCTCTCTCTACATAACTATTTGCAAGGAGCTTCTTCTAATAACATAAGCCTTCCCCTACAACAACTCATTGCACAATAGAAGAATTCATTTCACTCTTGGTCAGCCCTTCATGACCTTCATATCTGTTGGACAATAGCTTTCATCTTACCCAGTTAAAGTAATCTATATTGCAAAAATGTTTGCAGGTTAGATCACCTGAATGATTTGTGGCAGGGCCAGTAACAGAAAATTGTTATTCGGGCTGGGGAAGGGGAGATGAGCTCTACTTTTTACCAGGACAAAGCAGTGAAGAAAACAAAGATAATTTTAGCAAGGCAAGGGAGATTTTAGTGGAAGTGAAGAGTCAACCCTACAGATAAATGTTTTCAAAGACTCTGAAGAGAGTCAGGTGTGCTGGAAGCGACCATGTACAAGTACATAACATAACAATATGTTAGAGAAGAAAAGCCCCGGAAGAAGCAAAAATCGAGGCGGAGTTAAGTGACCCACCAGAAAGCTCAGTGGTTGGGATTACTGGCCATAATACATTAGAAAAAAGGGAATCGAAAAGAGAAGGATTTCTTGGGGCGAGAAAAGCTAGAGAGGCCAAGGATGGTCCGGGATAGCCTTTCCCAAGCTGGTGGCATCACATATGCGTTGAACGGCAATTCCCACGGCAAGCGTTTATTACAACGGGGCTGGTCATTTCGCAGATGCAGAGACCCTCAGCTGGGGGAGGCTCGACCCAGGACGTAGCCGGAGAAAACAGAAGTCTGTTAAAGGGAAGAGAAGGGGAGGGGGCGCCAGAGGCACCTTCATAAGAGGGCTTGTTTAACCCCCTAGAGGGGCACGAAATTAAAAGTGGTAGTTCCCGCCGACCATTGGCCGCTTCACTCACAGCTTCAGCTCCTCGTAGGCGGCTGCTGCTGCCGCGGCTATGACCTTGGTTCCCATTTGCTCCTTCGCCAGCCGCGCAGTTAAGCTCGGACTCTGCCTGCTTTCTATTTAGAATTCTTTCCTTGCTTCCCGGTCGTTCAGGCCTTTAAGACGGCACACCATTTAGGACAAACTTAATGAGAAAGCATTCCACGGCCTCCCGAAGAACGAGGCAATGACTAGGAAAGCTGGGATTGGTGGAATCTGTCGTTCTAACCACGCCAACCTATACTAGATGAGTAGGCGGGAACCACAATTGTGACGTTAGCTCCGGCTCTAGGCAACGCCGAATGGAAAGCGACCTGGGGTTGCCCATCATCCGTTGTAATTTCGATTTATAGAAGTACGGCTGCTCCTAATTGAGGTTAAAATAATGTTTTCAACTTTTGCAGCTTGAAGATGTATGGACATCAGCTATCAGAATTCCCCAGTAACATGTTGTCTGGGGAATTCTGTAAGTTTGAGTTTACATATCTTCAAACTGCCATGGTTGAGAAATACTGGTCTAAAATGAAAGACTATTGAAAGGTTTTGATTGGTTTAACCTTATGGCGCCACCCTTAAAAAACCTGTGGATGAAATTTACAATGCCCCGGAATTTAGAATACAAGCAAAAAAGTTCTTCTTTCCTCCAGCGTGGGCCAGTGGCGCAATGGATAACGCGTCTGACTACGGATCAGAAGATTCTAGGTTCGACTCCTGGCTGGCTCGATGCTTTCACTTTTCTTCTTCCTCAAACCTTTAATTCATTCTTTATAACTACTAAACTAGCGGTACCTTACCTATTTATCTTACTCCAATATTGTTTGTACACCATGCCTGGCAGAGATATTAGTATTTAGTGTTAGTTTTTATACTAAATATTCCACTGTGTTCCTACATTGTGCTAAACTACCGTTGTGGTGGCTCAGATGTTTCAAAGCTGCAGTGCGCCCAATTCAAGGCAGAAAAGAGATCATTCCAGCTACATTGGTACAAAATGTAACAACACAAGCAGTGTTCCTTCCCAGTATGCTTATGCATCACCACTGCTGTAATGGCAACAACTTGTAAGTACAATTAAAGATGGTCATTCCCTATAAAACCCTATAGGGCATAGAACATGGTCACCTGAGGGGCCACCTACAGTTTCTGCTCACATAATAGGTATTTTCCATATCTCTTCTATTAAATGTACAATCTCTTTAGAGATTATAGCAGCTTTATTCACAGTATGTGTCAGTTTGATGATTCCACAGTTTGCAATGGCATTTTTTCCTCTTCATGACTCAAAACCATTTATTGAAACATCCAGTTCAGTTTAATAATACCAATAGAGAAGATTTATAGATCAGGGTTGAATTAATGGGTTCCTTCATGCTCTCTGAGCTTGGTGGTTTTCTTACAGATATTTTATTACCCAAATAGGTAACATCAGTTTCATAATAGTAGCACATTTCTTGCGTGTGATGTGTGTTCAGAGTTGACAATGTGTAAATGTATTAAGGTGTAAAGTGTATGCTTTCTTGAACTGTTGTTTCTCTGTGTCATATAATACATGTGGCTATATGCATAATTCTGTATTTTGTCATATTTATGTAGTGTATATTGGAGGTGGTGACCATTTGAGAGCTGTATGCAACAAAATTTTATTTTAATGTATTCCAATTAGTGTACATACAAAGTGACAATAAAGTTATTATTTCTATTCCAGGGGTGTCAAACTTGCAACGTCACATGACGTATCATGACGTATTGCAATTTTTTTTCCATTCGCCATGACGCATCCACCCATGGGCCAGCAGTTTGACACCCCTGTTCTATTCTATTCTTCTGTTCATCTGCAATTTCCCTCATTAGTTCTGCTGCTAAATTGCTTATGAAGTGGGAGACAAGTGAGCCGCAAATATCAAATGCATTTGTTGCATTTATTCTTAAAAGAAAAATACAGCAGAAGCGATGTTCCACAATGTAATCAAAGTCACAAGAAAAACTAAATGTTTAGTTTCATTAAAATGGAATTCAAATTAGAGACTTTTTAAGTGAAAATTTGTGCATCAAATCAATATCGGTGCTTATTGACTATATAAATTTTCTCGTTATCAATCATTTTATATTTTCTATCTATATGGGATTTTTTGGTAAAAATACAGGAGTAGTTCATCACTGCCTTCTGGTAGGCATTTGCTTTAGCTGGAGTGGCTTTTACTTATGGTTGATCACTGGAGAAAAGTATTTTAGGCCAATAGTTCTTAACCTTTTTGAACGAATCACCCCCTTAAGCCAATAAGGAAGTTGTCATCGCCCCCCTCCCCCAACATAACCTCTCAATCACAACATAGGAAATAATTCTTCAATTTATGCAAACACTTTTTTTGTTTTCCTTAAAATTGTCATCAGGACATATTGATGCAAATAATTTATTTCCAGTCTTTTTCCCATATCTCAACTGTGTGAAAAATTTTGGTGCCACCCGTCACTTTATTCCCAAACTTCGTGATACATGTATTTCGTTATTATCTTATTTATTCAAAACACTTAAATGTAATGATCACTGAAAACAAAATTCAATCCACTAATAGTGAGAGATCTGATGTTTTTGAACGACAGATATACAGCGATTCATTGTACGAAAAAGTCTCAAAAGTGTCCCCAAAACTTCTCGCTCCATCGCCCCCATATCGCCCCCTTTTTCTTCCTTCGCCCCCACATCACCCCTTTTCGTTCCATCGCCCCCCTGAAAAATGAAATCGCCCCCTGGGGGGCGATATCACCCAGGTTAAGAACCACTGATTTAGGCAACCACTCCCAACATTCTTTGTTTATTTCTCCCAAGAACACTCTCACAGCCACAATGGGACAACATAAGTTACAATTATGATTAATAAGATTCTTCCCCATGTATTTAATACTTTTACTTTGTCTCACTTAAAATTACAGTGGGGTAGCAAAATTTTTAAGCATTTTCAATGCTTTTGGAAATTAAATGCAAATGGTGGGAGAACCTTTAAATATTTCTTTCTATTAAAGCTGAAGAAATGGCAGAATTAATTATAGGAACATGAACTAGTTTTGCTGCTTGTTGAATACTATTTTGCACATGTGCTTGTACAAAATGGAAGTATATGTCAATCATTCTAACTGGCCTTGAATGTTTATCAATCTTACAGAATTAGATATTATCATATATTTAAACAATGCCATTATGCAACTGTGATTTACAAGGAAAAAAATCAATCATACAATAAAATAACTTTAAATTTGTTATTGTTATTCTTTAAACCTGAACACATAAATAATTCTAAATGCTACATGTCTTTTCAAAATTTCATTTTCTAGCAAACAGAGATTTTGTGCAAGTGTAGAATCAGTGATTTTCCTTCCCTATTTCTACCCATGAACATATGGGGAGAAAAGAGTTTTCATTTATCCGGAAATAATTTTGTGAGATGTAAAAACCCCAAATTTTGATACTCACAATACAAAGACAAGTCTGGTTAACAAAACAAAGGTTTATTGGAGAATAACATAAACAGAATAAAAGAGAAAAGAGAAAGAATAGAAGAGAGGAGCGTTTGCAAACGCAGCCCCCTAGATCCTTCCCTATGGATTGGATTCCAGGAGCACACTGACCTGGTTTCAGGTTTTGCATTTTATAGCCCTTCAATGCATTGTCACACCTAAACAGCTCTTTCATCTTTATGGTGTTCTCTGAAGTTGTACTTTGTTAACCTGACCTCTTCCGTCCATCTGCTGTTATCTTGTTTATTTGGAATTCTCACTTTGGGTTAAAATCCCCTTCTTTGATAGTAGGATTTCCACTCAAAGTGTAAGTTCCTGTGTCCGGGAGATTTTTAGGCAGGATATAGTATACATTTGGTCATATATTGGCATTGCATTTCTACAATTATTTTTCTACAATTTTATAAAAGAATAACTTTTATTTCCTTCAATTTCAAATATTGAACACATGGATACAGTGTTTTCCGGTAAAATCTGTCTATTAGAGCAGCCTGATCTACCCAAATATGCGACGGAGCATGCTGCTTCCGCTTTCGCCTTTCAGTCTCAATCAAGGAGCCTTCACAGGCAGTCGCTTCTGTGACGAACTATTTCTGTATTACATTTAAATTTACCGACAAAGAATTAAAGGAGACTAGTATGGTTATTTCGAGCTAGCTGATGAGAGCTAAATGGTTTGAAATAGCTAGTCTCCCTTTAATTCTTTGTCGGTAAATTTAAATTTAAGACATGGATAGAAAATTTGAAGCAGAACGCTGAAGCACCTCTTACATCCAACAGGAGATCTCCGGGATTTATACCATAGTTCCCTGGGACGGGCTCATGTTTCTTCACCCATTAGAAAAATCCTTATCGCACCCTCCCATAAATGACCACAGGAAACTTGGTATTTGAGAAGGCGCCCATTAAAGACCAGTTTAGAGATGAGCTTTACCTCTGCTTTTTTTCTTTCCTATACTGTCTGGACTGATAGCTCTGCCCCGCCTATTTTCTGACAAAGGTCGCCTTCTTTATTGCACTGAAGCTATGAGCTTACATCTGATGATCCTGCAGAGAAGGCGCTTCTTTTAAAACAGCCCTCTAATTAAATCTTGACTTCCGGAAGAGAAAACGGAGAGGCGGTGCTTCCGGCCATTCATTCAGCACTCGGTCAGAAGCGTGCCAGTGGCTTCCCTTCGCGAGTAACGGAAGCGGCCTAGTTTGAAGTGGCTGCTCCAAGCTCAATTTTTGATCATTCCTTTTGGCTTCTCACCCTCGGGGAGGTCTCTGTCTCTGGTTTAGCCGCTTCGAGTTGCGCCTCTTGCCTTTCCACCATGAAACTCGTGCGGTAAGTGTCAGCTCTTCGGGAAAAGCGGGAATAATTCGGAAACACGTTCAGCCAGGCCCTAGCTTTCTTTTCATGGCCGCCTCTCCCTTCACTAGACTTGAGTTCTTTCCGACGCGCTTGAAGACCTTTTGTTGTCCCGTTTTGTGCTCTTTAGCTTTGGCTTGGTTCTGCTTGATCTTCAGAAGAGCAATAATTTTCCCTTGATTTTGGCCATCTATTCTCAGAATAAAATCCATTTCATCTCCTTTTTTTTCTTTGATACTGATAAATGATAAGGATTTGAGATCCACTCCATTTTGAAATAGAGAATCAGTATTATCACCCTTAAATGTCTTCAGAGCCAGGACTTTGCTTTATTAGGTGG